CAGCTTGCCCAGGTGTCGCTCGAACGCCTCATTCACAATGTACGGGTAAGCGCCAACGGCACACCTCGTGTGTTACACCGAAACAGGCACATATTCGAGCTGAAGCATTTGCCGCCAGTCATATCTACCGGATTTCCCTACTGCTTGGACGCAATGTCGCGACACGCGCTAGGGAACCTGGCGCTAAAGTCTCCCTCATTCCCGCGGTCATCCTTTAAGGTCGTAAGGGTCAACGAAGAGAAGGGAGACGGGCTTCCCAAGGGTTATAAAGCAAGGAAAGAATCATTAAGGGAGGGCGAGATGATATTCGAGATAATTAGGAAGCGCGGTCATTATGAGTGGATGAGCCCGGAAGGAAACCGCATTGCGGTGGAAGACGAAACGGACGGCAATCATAGATTGATAGTTACGACGCCCGTGATGAGGAAAACGATGGATGCTATGATAGGTGGTTGGTGCTTGAGGATCTGGCGTGATAGTATAAAATCGAACCACCGGTCTCGAAAGCCACGTAAGTAGACTGTATCAAACGCCGTTAGGCTTTGAGTACGCGCTGATCTCTAGAAGTTAGGACTCAAGTACGCAGTGGGCGTGAGATTCTTCCGAGATGGTGGTGAACGGGATAGTATGACCGACTAGCGCGCCGGTCCTTGTATTAAACTCATCAGCGGGACGAGTGGCCACGACCACGACCACACTTATAACCACCCGGCTTCAGGGCAAGATTGAAGCTTTCTGAACACCAACCACGAAAGGCCTTGGCACCAAGAGGGTGCGAGAACCTTGCACGATTACGAATTGTATGTATTCACGATATTCACGATGTTTATAGTTTTGTTTCATAGCTCACATTTAAATGGGGTTGACTAAGAACACTTCGTCACGTCCAATCTCATTGGTGATCAAACGCGGATTCCCTACTCACCCCCCGGATCTACCACCACAGATCTTTACACCAAAAATAGCCAGATACGCACAAGAGACGCCGTCCGAGCCCATTTCTAAACTTTCGGATATCTGAAATCGGCCAGTAAAACGTGATCTTTCTTGATTCTAGCGAATTGAATGCGTCCGTTGACGATCTTGGCGCCAAGGCGATCAACACTGATAGTTGTGGTTTGAAACATCCCATTATTAGTGCCTACACAATTCGTTTCATGCTTTCTGGGCGCCGTGGTTAGCACGAAGATGGAGGGTGCGCGGTCTATCTTATAGTAGTCGTATAGAAGACATATCTTCGTACTTCGTGAGATCTTGCACTTGCTCTGCTTTAGGGATGCACTTGTGATTCCAGGTCACTTCATTTTTCTTCACTTCGAATCTTGGGCTGTGCCCTCACTATTCACCATCTACGGCAGGTCCCAATTTGATAAGATTTCTTTCTTAACGGTTGACTTGCTCTCTCCTCCCCTTTTATCAATCTTCTGGGAGCCTTAGACTGGCAAAATTTCAATAGTGTTGCATATTCATCATGAGGTGGGTTTTCAAGGAGTCTATCGTCTGTACTTAGCTTCTAATCAAGTTAAAGGAGCCCAATATATCGAAGGCGTGCTCGCGCAAATGACCTGAGGATATCTGTCCGCGACGACGCCCCGAAAATTCCTGATGACCCAAATTTATCTGATTCTGATGATGACGATAACGATGATGGGATACCAGACTCACCTTCGCCAACTTCTCCTCACTTCCCGCCTCCTCAGATCAGTGGACCTCCACAACCGTCAGGAGAGACTTCGTCATCACTTCAGGTTTCATCAACAGTCACCGACTCTGTCTCTTCGCAGCCAACGACATCAGCGTCGAGTGCGTCGAGCACTAGCGTATCAGTCACACCATCGTCTTCGATTAGCGCCAGCATTACACAGAGTGCAGATGCAGAGCCACAAAACACCGACGTTGTTCAAGCGCAAGCAAGCCAACAAGGGGGTGGTGCCCCTTCCATGGGTAGAGGCGGGACTATAGCATTCGGCACAATCGGTAAGCCTCTTTAATTCGAGCGAGGGCTCACTTAGGTATCGCAAAAGACTAACGAATGCACTTCCAACCCAACAGGAGCTGTAGTCATTATAGCAGCCCTAGCGATTTTCGTATGGAGATGCCGGCGACGGCAAAAACGCAAAAGCGGAAGTGTTTTCTCCAGATCCACGCCACCCTCTGGCTTCAAAAGGATGGAAGAAGCTAGGCGTCCGGTTACAGCAGATTATGGATCATCAAGAAGCACGTCGTCACGAGATACGCCATCAAGGATTATGGATAATCTCATGAGAGCGGCGTATGCGGCCGAAGACGGCAATGCCTCACAGTATGGCGCATACGCGGATGAGAAAGGGCAATCCAACACATTTGGGCCTGCTGCAGATCCAAGGCAGCCGATGTCTGTGAGACAATCGAGTGCCTCTGTTCCACAACCCCCAATGAGCGGCGGTACTAACTCACTTTACGTGAACCAACTGATGTCGGGGTTCTATAAGGGCCAAGGAGCAGACGGGCTGACCGCTCCTCCTAACGCGAGAATGCCTCCACCGGCAGCTCCATCGGTAGCTGGACAAACTGAGGTCACGGCTAGTTCAGAAAGCACATGGAGGACGTGGGGTTGGTCACAACCGAAACAACAACCTAAAGAGGGTTGGATTGATAAATGCGTTCGCCTCGGAGGATTGAGATGAATCGAAACCGTTTGACCGTTTGAAGTGAGCAGATTCGGACCTCTGATCGAGTTGTGACATTTGTTGAACGAAACTTTGTGAGATGCGCGTATTCAGTCATTACAGTTTTTGAGATATTTGAGATTTGAGAGATACCATTTCATTCGAGAGCGCAATTAATACACCGATTTTTATACAAGAGCCAATTATGTAACAGATATTTATTTGACTTTTGCTTTTTTAAATACGGACGGGAAGCGGCAGTCAGCCATACGAGAATCGTAATTTATACCTGCAAGTACATATTTAGTACCTTTGTACCCAATTAGCTGTTGGCGGTGCCGATGGTCCGGATAAGATAGTGCCAAGACGTCATCCCGGTTCCGACAAATAAAAAGTTGAAGCAGTTAAGTGGCAGAGCGGCGGGGATTGGCTACTCGAGGTATACATCAGGTATGTACTAGGTACGGATTGGGTACAGATTGTACCTCATTTGTACCTCGGACTTCTTACATCGTGAAACCCCTGAGCTGACGAAGGTTTAATCTTTCGTAATGTCTTCCAAAGCTGCTTCCAAAGTTGTAAAGTTGCTTCCATCGCAAATTCCACCATCTTTGAACAGATGGGCTTCTTACCAAGATGCATCTGCAGTCGCGTCTATCCGCGCTTCATATGCGATGGAAGCAACTCCCTAACCTTCACAAAGTCTTAGCAGTATTTGCACTGCTGCTATTTTTAATAGGTACGCCCAATCCCGATCCCGTGTCCGATTCACGATGTCTCGTGCGTGCACCGATGATCTAACAAAGGACGTTAATATAGTAATATTCATACAACCAACACCGGAAACTGCTCGTAGTGGATGGAATCGCCTCACCCAGTCCGAAAATGGCCCTCTGGCAGGCGGAATCCCCCTTCGTGTCATGTTCATCGGCGCTTCCATGACCCTCGGCGAACACTCGACTGGCGAAGTGGGATACAGGAAGCAGATTAGAGATTGGCTGGTCTCTCGGGGCAACCCCGTCAACTACGTCGGCCAGGTATGTGTCAGATGGATCACTCATACCAAAACCTTCAGTCGTCCCAATCTAACCTCGCGTGCTCCCAGAACCGCTATGGCGACTTCAAAGATAACGACGTACAAGCCTTCGGCGCACAACCCATAAAACCAACCCTAGACCGCCTAAAAGAAGTCGTGCCCCAAGTACAGCCGAACCTAATTCTCATCAACGCCGGCTCAAGCGACTGCTTCCAGCTCGACCACTGGGGACCGGCGTACATCCTACAGAGCATGCGCGAGCTCGTCGATTTCCTCTTCGAAGCCTCACCGCGCGCTACTATTATCATGTCGACCATCATCACCTCCCCTTGGGACGGCACAGAACGCTGCGTCAAATCCTCGAACGCGCAAATCCGACAAGTCGCTATAGATCTGATACGCGAGGGCAAACCCGTGACCATGGCCGAGATGCACTACGATCAAGGACTGCCGAACCGCGTCGAGCGCGCAGATATCGGGCCCGATGATATGCATCCCACCGATAAGGGATACTTCAAGATGGGCGACATATTCATGGAGAAGATCCTCGAGGTCGAGAAGAACGGCTGGCTGAAGCGACCCGTAGATAATGGAGTCCCGGCCGACGGCGAAGCAGCAAGAGATGCTGAGGACGCGATTAAAGAGCAGGAAGAGAGGTTAAAAGAAAAGCAAGATGCAGAGCCTGGGAAGACGTTGCCCGGCAGGAGGATTAGACGGGCGTTCAGGGGACGACATGCAGCTGCGCCCGTTTAGGCAGATATCTAGAGATCCATCCGCGGGGTGGTATTGACACCTTAGTAATTGCAAGTACTTTGGTACGACGTCATCGCGATTTTACCGGTAGGAAAATGGGAAAATGAACTAGGTGGCCCATAGAAGTGGGATAGATAGATTGCGGGAAGATCCGCGGTCAGATATTCTGTAATACATATTTGTAACAAGAGAACTTGCCAGCTCTGAGAATTTAGCTGGCTCGTGGTATTTATTTTATATTCTACCGTATTTTCATATTTCATTCTCATCCTCTTGGGGCTGGCTGTGTTATGTCCTAGGTGACACCTAGTAAGTATTTCCCAGAAACAGCTTCAAGTCGCGTGTCTTCGCTAAATGCAACCTAGTTTGAAGCCTTCCCCAGACTTCCTTTTTCGGGGTTTTTAGACGAGCGAGGCTTTTTCTCGGTGTTTATGGTAGGAGAAGTCTCATGTCGCACACCAGCCTGAAAAGAGAGAAAAAAAAAGTAGGGCCCATGTTGATGGGGAGCTGTTAGAATTATGCCCGCGACGGGAATCGAACCTAATAGACGGTATCAGATCAAGATCCTACGACGGGCGACAAACTTACCCGCAACCTTAGGATGAATCTGAAGACATCTAAGAGTCCTATGCTCTCGCCGATTGAGCTACGCAAGCTGTTATGAGCAGTGTTTTTCTTGGTTTCTATAGAGGTAGGTAGGTACCTAGGTATGTATAAGGTCTAAGTTGGTAGATGCTATCATGAGTCAGAGCATGGCAAACTCGATCCTAATGGTGATAGGAGAAGACCATTCATTCGTATTGCTAATATGATAAGTTTTACTTCACAGTACATCCTCCTAGAGCAATCAGAACCCTAACATCCGTTCATATAACGTTGCCTGCTCTCCGATGGGCTGGATCAGTGTATAGCTAGCCGAGCTATTAAACTCTTGAACGCCGTTGATCAAGTACAGCGGCGTGAGGTTTCCGTCGTCACTGAAATAGAACTGTGGCCGCTCTCGTCGATAATAGTCAGTCCTACCACCATCTGTAAAGTACACTGTCGTGTTGTACGCCGCCTGCAACTTGAATGTCCAATTACCTGTCAGACTACGCGAGAATAAGTGTCCTCCTACTCGAGGGTACTTCTCGCTCCTCTCCGCTATATCGATCATCCAGTGGCAGAGGATATGCCAGTTTCCGCGTCGGTCTCGCCACAGAAAGGGATCTTCTGTCCAGTGATCGCTGTAGTCCGACATATTCCATGGCATCGACTTGACCAAGTCATAAGGACCGTTAGAGCTATTGGCAAGGTAGAGTAAGTTGTCCTCTACGCCGAGTGCTATTTCAGGAGTAGGGTTATCCTGTGTCCACAGTGGCCATGGAGCTGGATTAGTCGCATCGAAAAGAAACTTTGGGGGATCCCACGGTCCACGAATATCAGGGGCACTGGAAACGGAGATGTTGTTTGCCCACTTGTAGGATTTACACGTATTTGGTGTGTCCGTCTCTATTCCTATGGTATATAAAAGATATTTCTCATCCGCTGGACTCCACACTACTTTGGAATTGTGGCGGAATGTACCCAGAAGTTCTTCCGCATAAAAAAACGGACCAGCCGGACCCGTACGCGACTCGGCGCGAACTACGGTGCTAAATGGCCTCCAACCCGCTAACCCGCATCCGTGAGAAAATTGGTCAATGATCAGGTGAAAGAGCTTCCTATCAACGCGATCTCGAACTACGGTCCCACCCCATGAGGAATTACCCTTTGCGCCGTAGAAGTCTGGTAAAGTGAAGTTCGTGTAATTATAACCCGTCCATCGCGTCGCGGGCTGGAGGTCGAGTTGGCCGCAATCATCCGACTTCCATCCCGGATCGCATTCACAATTGCTTGACGACTGGTTGCAGATGCTGTTAAGGCTGCAGTCTTCGTCTGTCATACATGCATCAGCGACAATACGCAATGTCGTTAGTAAGACTAAGAATATTTTCAAGAACGAAGCAGGCATATCCAAGTGATTTAGAATTCTCTTCACCGAGGGCTAATTAGCATTGTACTATTGGCTTCGTGATATAGTGTCATCGGGAGTTTGCTTTTAATTGTGGAGAAATAGGGGGCATAGATGAGGAGATTTTCGGTCGTCTCAATTGCCCTCGGTATACTACGCCCCGACTCTTATGGTATTTCTCCGCAAGTAGAACATGGGATACCATGATGTCTTGTTGTAAGCAATCGCTGAACTACAATCTATATAGAACGTCTACGGACCAAGACAAATGATCATAAAATTTTCTCTTGACTACTAGATACCTAGGCAAGTCATTGAAGATCATAGATGAATAATTTGTTATGGAATGAGAATTTCATATATATCGCTTCGAAATGACTAAAATGTGACCAACTGAACTTGATACTCACTTCAATGATTCTATTGCGACATGTCAAGCTTTGATCCGTTTTTTCTTGTAAGGAGCTTTCAAATAGGGGCGTCAACCACGCTTGTAATTTCGCTTATGCCTCTCATGAAATGTTACGAGTTATAATCCATCTCACTTAAGTTTCGTATAGAGAATGAATATTTGCTCCAAAAAACATATCCATGAACTCTAGCGAAATGATAGATCATACATTTAGAGAATATCGTCAATACGGACGTTAGATGATTTTGGTAACTACAAGTGTATGATTTGCAATCCAGTGAACGTACGATAGTGAAGACTGAACTTTTATTGGTAGTGGATATATGGAATTAATTCATACTCAAATTTAAAAACATATTGACTCATTGTTTCTTAATTGAAATTTTGCTCTTTTAAACGATCTTGTTGCACACTTGGGTGACCTTGTGTGTTCTGTTAATTGACTTATTTCTCATAAATGATGATTCTTTAAATAACGTATCCCCTCGTCGTCCAGTTTAGTAATTGGGAATAAATCCTTAATTTCGACCCAACCTGCGACATGCATAGCAGCAAGTTATTGAATCCTCTTACTTTTCGACATATGTCGTTCATATTTATCGAAATCCAATCGAGATATGTCACGTATAAATGTGGATCTATACTCCCCGCCACACCTAGATCTGACTTGACATCTATAAATGCTACATGACCCCAGATCTTCCAGCCCGTGAGAGCGCTCTAAGATATCTCGGATATCTTAGATATGAGCTTGTCAACTTGATTTTCTGGCTATGACAACATACACTAACGCAGCACAGATGTTGTATTGCCCAAATGCGCCTAATATCCAATCCCAAGTGACGATAGGGGCAATATGCACATCTGAATCTGTCTAATAAACAACAAAGGGTCCTTCTCCACCAGCAGGGGGCTACGTGGTGAAAATGGATCTTGCGGCTAACACGGTGCTGGTAGCCCAAGTGGGACCGTGTATACACTGTAGAGAGACTCTGAAGTTATTCGAGATTCTGTGATCGCGACGTGAAAATTGTATGGTATCCCCGGATTTCACTACACTCGACAGCTGCTCGACATAGACGGGCGGGTATTCAAATTTAAAGACGCATGAGCCTACAAGTCCATTGTTGATTGTGAATGCATGTGTATATGAGACACCTGCGTCTAGCTGCATGAATTGAGGGTAGAGATCGCACAGTGCGAGAGGAAAAAGGGATCCTGGTCAATGCGTCTGGCGGTAAGAGAGGCAGGAAAAGACTGATTTAATTTGTTACCAGAGAATGCTCTGGTCTTTGTCCCCGTTGATGTGTTTTAAAGAGTGGTTTACTCATAATAATAGTTTCCTGGGGAGTTATCTGACCTCTTTTTATGATACCCATCTTGCTTGTTGAAAATTGTGCTTAATACCTAATACCTAAGTTTTGAAAGCTCGTCGAGTGTTTTCAGGAGGACATCAGTTGGACGATATTGGTTATCAAGGTCCACCCCTCAGTGAAGTTGTATCTCTTAAGCGTTTATACTCCGGTTTAGAGCTGCCCGACGGCTGAGTCGACGACTGCTATGGCCAGCTTCGGGACCGGAGGTGCCCCTACCTCCCAGCCCCCGACTCCCGCCTTCGGGAATAGCTTCGGGGGCAGCGGTGTCTTCTCACCGACAACAACACAAGCTCGTCCTCATACGAGTTTATTCGGTACCCTTAGTAATCCGGAAGCCCGACCATCAGCTACAAGCGGGAATCCCTTCGGAACACCTTTACCCCCACAATCTCATCAACCATTCTCTAGTTTGGGTAACCCACGCGCATTTGGCATCGGGTCGCCCGCTCCCGTTCCAACTTCATCTCAATCACAAATTAATGTTCAAGCTCAACCTAAACAATCATCTCCAAGCCTGTTCGGTCCTAGGCCAACCGCACCGGCGGCGCCGACCGTGTCGCCTCTAGCTGCACCGGTAGCCAGCCCGTCACCAGTCGCACGGACAAGCCAAACGCCAGCAAGGAGTAACAGCAACAGAGTATCCCCTTCCAGGATATCACCAACCAGAACTTCATCCACGAGGGAAACTCCGATCAAGAGTTCCTCTACTAGATCTTCCCCTAACCGCGGCAGTCAGACACCATCTTCCGTCTCAAGCCAGTCGCCAACAAAAAGTCCAGCAACCATGTTTACGGCTAATTCCACGACATCATCAGGTACCTCGCAATCAACAATGGAGCAAGAGACGAGCCCCCGACCACCCAAGTGCTACATGGACCCTAAGGGGGACCTATGCCTGGAGGTGGGTCATCTCGCAGCCGAGTTCGTAGTGTGCTCCCGAGCCATGGCACGATCATCGCCCTTCTGGAAGAAGATGCTGTATGGAGAGTTTGCCGAGAGCAAGAGTGCGCAGCCTAAGGACGGAAAGACGCCGTGGGTTGTGAAGCTACCGGAGGACAACTCCGCCGCGATGAGCATCATCCTGAATATCATCCATAGTAGGTTCGATCAGGTGTCAGGCTACGAAGACTTTGTTTATACGACACATCTCTACAACCTGTGCGTCTTGACGGACAAGTATGACATGACCCATATCTTGCGACCTTGGGCGAAGGGCTGGTCGCGCACCACGCATATCCAGTGCGAGAAGCTGGGTCAATCTTTGCGATCGAAGTTCTGCCACGAGCGACTTTGGATTGCCTGGGAGCTGGGCGATTTCGTCACTTTCGATGCGATGTCTAAGGCGCTGCTTTTGAATTCCTCGAGTTCGGCCGGTAACAACCTGCGTTACGTGGGAGCGTTAGAGCCGCCCGAGATTTATGGTGAGTCTGCTTACCTAATCTACTTATTCCTTGCTATGAAGTACGAGATTGATTAACCGATGTTACAGAAAGCATACAAAAGGCCCGTCTGTCCATGATCAAGGCACTTCTCAGCCGCCTCGATGGCATATTGCAAGGTCTCGTGCAGCAAAACAAGGCCCTCTGTTCGCGATATAAGGTATCATCCGAGAGAGGTGATTGCTTAGCTTCGATGCTGGGTACGACCATCCAATCCCTCCACAGCAACGGATTGTGGCCTATACCACAGCCTGAGTCGGTCGAGTGCAGCGTGTGGGATTTTGCGGCGAAGCTACAAGCCGTCCAGATCGAGGGCGATGCCGGAATCTACCACAAGTGCTCGCAAACGGTCGTTCTCAAAGCCGAGATCGAGAAGACCCTATACTCCATCCCCGAACTACTCTCCGAGATACATTGGCGCCACCTTCAGAGCCAG